TTATGCATTATGCAGATCTCGCTGCTCTGAAGGTCACCCAGTTGGCTGGCAGTCAATTATATGGATTGGGGTGCGACCCGAACAGCTAATTAAACAGATCCATGATCGTTGATTGCGGCTGAAAGAGCAGCCAACGGTCCAAATCTGCGGGAGGTCTAAGCCCACTTTGCGATTGGGTTTACTATAAGTTGGGGATCGGTTATTTGCCCCCACGAAACACGGGTTGCATCTATTCCGGAGTTGGGTTTTATGGAGCTCTCCACTGAAGAACCACGCCCCTGGTCGGTCGCTCATATGCATTTGCACAGATTACTAATCGACTCTTTGTCTTCATTTGATGGCTTCGGGTTTTAATTATTCGAGAAATGGTTTTCGAAAAAACAGACCAGAGATGAGAGCCCGCATATCTTAAACGTTCCGTTGTGTTGTTGTTGTTGTGATGGTGATGGTGTCTTGAGACCATTTTCAGGTGTCTGTTAATTTGTTTCTTTCCCCGCTTGAAGATCTCTCCCCCTTTCCCCCCTCCACCCTTTTTTCAGCTGCCCTAAACTCGTCTGTAGTTCGTAGTTGACCCTCTTCGTCTTTGTTTAACAACAAATGCCTGACTTGGGCCAAGGTGTTAAAGCTTGTCTCCGCTCTACGGGTCCCAGCGCGTTTTGAGTTTCCATTTCTCGTATTTGTGTATTTGTGTTATTTTCTGGCGTTCGAGAACCGCTTTCCTTCTTGGACTAGTTCGGCTCGTAGGCTTTATAATTTATGATATTCCAATGGTTTCTATGAAATGCTGTGGCGAGAGCCAAGAGATTGCTTTGGATTCGGGGTAAGGCATGTCTGATTCGGTTAGCTGGGCAGTGGAATTAGCTCGGAGGAGGGTTGTATGCATTTATAATTCAATCACGAGCAATTAACTAGGAAAACTTAGCAGGCAAACTGCACGCAAAGCCAGCAGCTGCAGAACAAAAGACTTAGGCAACAAACTTGATGCATTATTACTTTGCATAACCTCTCCTTTTTCCCCGCTCTGCTGTCTCTCTCTCTGCTGTGCGTTTTTGACAAATTTGTTTGAAAATTTCCAAATTGAAAAGATTCATTCATCAGCGGGCCGCTCGCATCATCATCATCAAACCAGAAAGGCAAAAGAGGCAAAAAAAAAAAAAGGCAGAAAGGCAGGCAGAAGCTGGGTTCGAGCCGTGTTTAATGGATTCCTACCAGCCTCCTCTGTCTTTTGGGTATGGGCTTGGGTTTTTGGTCTCTACACCGCTGTTGCTGCTGCTGCTGCTTCTGCTGGGATGAAGCTCAAAGGTCCCATGTGCGATCTGACCCATTGTCGTTATAAATTAGCGCAATCAATCAACTCACTTCACCTGATTCCACCGAAGAACCGAACGCCAGAAAGAGAGAGCTGTCCAACAAAGAGATTCCAGATCTGAATGTTCAGTTTTTAGTTTTTCACTTCTTCAGTTTTTAGATTTCAGTTTTCAGTTTTCAGTTGCCAGACTGCGGGACAAACGAAAACAGGTTACCGGAGATGCAGATAGACAGATAGAGGGGCCAATGCCATCCGTGTCAGATAGATCAGAACAAACCCAGACAAATTTCGGCACTTCGTCAATGTCAAAACGGCGGAATCACATTGACCAGTTTGGTTAAATTAATCAGCGAAATCGTTTAATGGTCTCAAGATGCCAGCGCCTCGGGGCCAGTGACTAAAATCAAAAGTTATGTTTTAGCTGGAAGTGCTTGGCCAGCAGCTCTTATCGCTCTTGGCCAACTCCCTCGTTTGCCTATCAGCCTCGACTATCGACCGGCCATCTCTTTCTTCTTCCCGGGAGAATGTTAACAAGAGGAGACTCCCGAGAAAAGGCAGTTAAGCATCGCTCGCCGGGATCCCCGACCCTCTCCGTTTTTCAGGTGTAAAATGAAAGAAGGTTTTTCATCAGCAGACCCCAAAAGTGCCGACCATAAATTTGAGCTCGAAACCTTTTTCCCCATAATTTTCCCCGTGCCCCCAAGGGTTGCACTTAAATGAGAAGAAAAGCGGATTCGATTCGACTTCGATTTAGAACTCTCCCTTTCTGCTGCTCAATGGCATTGTAAGGATTATGATATGATGTGATTCGGTTTCTCAGGGCTTTCTTTCTTTCTTTCTTTTCGGAGTGGAAAATGCTTTGTTTTGATGGCGCAGCAAGGTGTTGCAAGTCCATGGCACAGTGCCTCCCATTATGCTTTGCCACAAAGGAGCTGACTGTTCGGATGCTGCAGTGCCTCCAGCCACGTCCGACGTGGATTCCAGGTCGCTGGTGCATTGATTTTTTATATATACACCATATAGTATCTATATGGCATTTCGCTTACGTAGCTGCAGGTGCGGAAGCAATTTGTTTAGAATTTTCGCTGTAAACGCACCAGCAACTGCTACAAGTTGCTGAGAGGCAGCGTGCAGGCACTGCGGACATTAAATAAAAGCGAAAAGAGTAAACACACAACACGAGAAATATTGCATGCAACAACGCGGCGCGACTGCGTCCTCATATATCGTACTATAGCTTTGCTATATGGCAAGTCGGTTTGAGTAAGGAGTAAGTGAGGCCGCCAGTGCTTGTGAGCATACAAATATGCAAATTATTGTGCACACAGCGACCACGCCAACAACCAACAACCAACGGACAACAACCAGCATACAACAACAACAGCATCAACAACAAGAGCAACAACAAAAAGGAGGAACTGGCAGATTTGTTTGCCCTGCCAGGCAGTCAAGAGAAAAGTGAGGCAACGACTTGATCGCCGCGCAACTAGCCAGGATGTATTGGCCAGTCGCCAGTCAACATACGGCTGAGATACACGAGCTTGGGCCTGAACTTGAGATTTTTATGGTCGGAAATTAGTTCGAAGGAGCGAGTGTACAAGTAGTTTCGGGATATCTAATATGCTAATCATTTTTATGCCCTACAAACATTCCGCGATTTATTCAGCGAAAATGCAGGCATCGCTTTTCACATTTTAAATTGGTGTACTGCCGTTGCTTTTATAACCTCTTATTAGTTTGATCAATAAACATTTGGTGGTATAGTATGAGAAGATATTAATTGAATAAATATTAAGAAGTTTGAATACTAAAATAATATAATTAAATGGAGCATTATTTGAGGGGATTAAGTTTAAAGACAAGAAAGAAGGGTCTCTGATTTTAATAAATTAAATAGTAATTTGTTTTATAAAAATGCGAACAGGGAAAGAGAGAAGTTAAAGTAATTAAAAATAATACACAACTAACAAGTTTATAAATAATTTATTTATGCCTCGTAGCAATTGATCTTTAATAAATGTCTTTAGATGCACCCACGATACTCCACTTCTTTCCTTTTATTTACCCAAACAATATTTTTGATGACCAATAAACTTTTAGGATCTGTTACCAGGGGATCTAGATCAATGAAGTTGATTCTTTTTCTTACCAATATAAAACCCCCAGAGCATTATTGTGTGCTCATATAAGTTATATTCTGATCAGATCAATAGGCTTTTCAAGTGATGCGACCTTTTCAGTCGCTCCTTCAACGGGTGGCAATTAGAAGTGGGGGATTAGCATAGGTGGCATTACGTTGTACGAAGCCCTTGTGGCGTTTTATGAGGCGATCGTAAAGCGTTTTGGTTCCACTAGCCGGCATTAATAAGTTCATAAAGGCCGTGGATGTTGGCACATTTGTTTGGCGTTTGCAGTTTTTTTTGGGCCGCAAAGCGTGTAAACTGTAAAACGTAAACAAAGACGCGGTTGGTGGGCGCAGAGATCTCGGGTTGCTCTCTCAATCTCAATCTCAATTATATTGTTTTATTATGGTTTCATTCTGGGGAGAGATGCCACAGGCCCCGCAGACAAGTTGCAAGCAATATACTCGCACAGATACAGATACAGATACATTGTACGGCCCGGAGCGAACCGAAGTGGTAAGACGATATTCGAAAATGGGTTCTGCGGCCAAAGCCGAAGCGGCTGAGAACGTGTTAAAGTCACAAGTTCCCTAACACGTCTTTAGGTTATTTGATATATTTATTAAACTAGCCGAACGCCGCTGCGCTCCTTCACTCTGCTGGAGATACTTTATCTGGCGCGTCCGAAACGGGTTATCAAAATATCTTCGCTCAGCTGAGGCGTGAGTTGATTAACTCCCAACCGAGCCACATTTTTTGGTAGTTTAGTAGTTGTAGTTGTTTTTGGCCATCCGCCAAGTGGCCATTCCATTTTCCATGGCTATGGCCAATGCCAACGTGGAGCGACTTGCTCGGTTCATTTCATTTTTATTTACGTGAACTACTCTGGTGTCCAATAAAGTATACGCAGCGAAATCAGATGCAAAACGTGCGACAGGGAGGCAAGGAGGCTCGAGATTCCCAGCATCTTGTCGCTGGGACACGCGGACGCACTTAATGAGCAGCGATCTTAAATCTTGCAGTCACAAGAAAGGGGAGCGGAGGAGCGGGGGGAGGGGAGAAGGGGGCTTCGATGGAGACGTTGCATCCACAAGAGCGTGTATCTCGGGCCCCAAGGTGCCTCAGAAAGTTTAAGTGTGTGTTTGTGTGTGTGGAAAGTATCTGGAACTGGCTCTGGCGGGGCTTCATCTTTCTGCACTCGAGATTCTGGGCAACTGAAGAACTGGAGAACCGAAGAGAGGCGGCTCTCAAATGCTTATGAAGATATTATGAAAAGCAGCACCAGATTCGGTGTATCTGTATGTGTGTGTGTGTCTGTGTGTGGAAGTGGAGCCTGCATTATGTGGCAAGTTCCATCTCCGTCTCCATCTCCATCTCCATCTCCATCTCACCTGCAAAAAAGATCAATGACAATTTATTGTCATGACTATGTAAGTTCTCACAGGCGCAGGCGTGCTCAGATGGCCAGATACTCGTGTATCTGCATCTGCATCTGAATCTGAATCTGAATCTGCATCTGCATCTGTTGGCCGATCTTCCATATTTCAAAGTGACATTCGACTGGCGCATTTCGTTCGGTACATATACTCGTGGTTTATTGGTTGTAAATGGTAAAATGAAATCTACTTAGGCTGCTTGGTTCCTTAGACAAATATCACACACATTGTTATAGCTAGCTAGTCTACGTATTTTACAGATACTTTTACGGATAGGTTATACTTAATACGTCTGGCATTTACAAGTTAGGTGTTCTAGTGGATCATCTATAATACTCGGATCTCCTGGAGGTCAGTGCTTTTTCCAGGGACTTTAATTTAAGGGGTTACAATTTGGGGATGCGAATGGAAGGGGTTACTTTTGAGCACTGACCCCTTGACTACTGCTAACCCGATCCAGATGAAGACGCTCCCTTATTTACAGCTTATCAGTCGAGATTGGTTGGTTGGTTGGTTGGTTGGTTGGGAAGTGGGAACTGGATTCACTAGCTCCCCTGGCACTTCTGCACCTGACCCAGCACCCGATCGATGCGCTCCACGAGGATCTTGACGGACTTGTCCGGCAGCGAGGGCAGGACGTCCCGCACTCCGGCGCTGGTGGTCCGCTCGAAGAGCTCTCGCAGCCGCCGTCCCGCTCCCGCCGCTCGCAGACGCTTGAGCGCCTCGATGGTGGGACGCCGGAAGACGCAGAGGTTGTCCAGCAGGAGGCTGTGGTAGGCCTCGTACTTCTTGAGCAGCCGGTAGCCATGGAGCAGGCCGCTCTCGTTGTCCAGGAAGACCAACAGCTGGGAGGCGGACTGGCGGGCCAAGTTGTGCGCCGGCGCGGCCATGATGTCGGCGTTCCATTGGAAGTTGTACAGGTTATTAACCACGCGATCGAGGTTCGCGATCAGGTAATCGAAGACGATTAAATCGGACCATTGTGCCAATTCAATTAGTCGCTGCACCAGCGCTCCTCCGCTCTCCACTTGACTTCCCATTCCCATTGCCATTCCCAATCCCGTTCCTGTCTCCTCAATCGCAGTTGATTGATGAGCGGAGCCCGGCGAAGTGGCAGCCCCCAACCGCTTGAGTAATCCCTGCGTCTGCGCCGGCTCCTTCCTCTCCTGCTCCTGCTCCTGCTCCTGCTGCGGCTTCGGCTGCAACTGCAAGTGGCGCGTCAGGTTCCAGACGTCGTGCTTGTTGAGGTGCCGCTCCAGCGGCTGGAAGGGCTGTGGTATCCCGGCCGGTTCGAGGTCGGCCAGCCAGCGGGTCAGCACCACCGGGCGGCGCTCCTTCCACTGCGCCTGCGTGATGTCCCCCAAAGCGGCCGACCAGTTGGGTGTGCCCGTGTCCACCAGAGTGGCTGCACTTGGAGCCAGATTCGTTATGTTGAGCAGCTGCCCCAAGTAGTAGCTGAAGATCTCCCCTTGGATCTGGTCCGTGTTCTGGCGATAGCGGGCACAGGCACGCGTTCCATCGGCGAACACCACCAGGCGGTTCTGCATCCTGCCGCATCCCTGCTCCAAGCGAACCACTCTTCCCTGCTCCCCGACGAAGCGCTCCCAGTTGAGTTGGTCCTGCGAGGCGAATCCTTTCGGAAGAGCCTGCTCCACCGTGGGTCCCCAGAAGACGTCCTCCTCGATGAGACCCGCCTGGGGTTCATTGGAAGGTCTCCCGGAAGGAGTGACTGGAGTGCGGAGGTTCTCCTGCTGCGGAATCCTCTCCTGAACCGCCTTGGAAAGCCTCCTCTCCGGACCCTTGCGATACCTTCCGTTCGCAGTGCGCTGCACGTGGAACTCCTTGATGCTGCCGTCGTTGGTGTCCAGCTTCTTCACCACCATCGAGTCGGGGGCATCCCTGTCCTGCTCCAGGTGGAAGGCATTGCGGAACACCTGCTCGGCACTCAGCTCCGCGTCCGCCTCCTTGATGAACTCCACGCGGTAGCTGCTCAGCGGCTCCACTGCCACCAGTTCCTCTGGCAGGTCCGGCGGGGAGTCCAGGTGGCGGGGCAACCCGAACATGGGCACCACCACGCCCAGTGCCATCCCGAAGACGAAGGCGGCCAGGATGCTCAGGAGGCAGGCCCTCCGCTGCAGCGAACGGCGCCGGCGCAGCGTTAGCAAAGTCATGTGGGTGGCCTCGCTGGGATTGGGACTCGAACTGGAACTGGAATTGGAATGGGGAGTGGGAGTGGGATGAGCTGCGATCACGCTGCAGGTGAGTTGCTGGCCAGTCAGGTCAAGGCTTATTGGTTGTTGCTGTTGCAGTTTCTGCTGCTGCTGTTGTTGTCGCTGCTGCTGCTGCTGCTGCTGATGTTGCTGTATCTGTTGCTGTTGTTGTCCCGCTTCCAGGCGCTTGATGTCGTACATTTTGCCGGCGAGCCGAAGATCCCGATCCCTAGTTCCCTGTTGCAGCCCAGACCTCAGGCTCAAAGTTCAAGCCGCGCATGGGAGGCGGGGGATTTCCAGGAGGGGATTGTCCAGGAGACAAGGGGGGTTCGCCTCACAAAATCGTGAAATTAATTTCTGTCTTTGTTTAATAAATATCGGTGGTGCTGTTGGTGGTGCTGGTGGTACTGGTGGTTGGTTGTAGGTTCTCGGCTGCCAACTTCCTTCGTCCTCCTCCGCTGGCGTTTGGCGTTGTGTTTTGGCGACCAGAAGAGAGACCGGTTCGGAATTTTTCCTCTACGATTTCCACAATTGAAATTGAAACAAAAACCCAGAAACGTGCTCCTTCTGCCTTGGCTCCTTGATCGCTCGCTGATCGTCGCTCGTTTATTTATTTTTATACTCTCCACTGGACCGCGTCGCTTTTTTTCAGCTTTTTTCCTTATTTTTTTTTTTCGCTTTTTTTCGGGTTCGAGTTCGTTTTGGTTTTGGGGTTTGGGGTTTGGGGGTTTTGGGTTTGGGTTTGGGTTTATCGATCTATTTTCTGCACGATCACTTGCTGTAATTTTTTATTATACATTTTTGCTGGCCGTTTGTTTGTTTGCTCGCTGGCGTTGTAAGCCCGCCGGGTTAATATTTTCTGCGATGGCTGGCTGGCTGGTTGGCTGGTTGGCTGGCCGGCCTGCCCTTCAGCTGAACAGTTGAACAGTTGAACAGTTTCTCTTTTTGTTTTTAATTTCTGGATTTGTGCAGTTTGGGCGATTTCGGCGCGCCGATAAAACCAATTTCGTGGCTCTGAGCTATTTGCCACACCAACTATATATATATAGACAGATATAGTGAACAACAAACACACTGTGGCACACACATACACACACACTGCAGCGGCGGCACTCGAATTCCCAGATTCCCGATTCGCCCGATAATTGCCCGCGAAGAGCAAACAACGCGACAAGTTTGTGAGGTTCGTTGGTTGGGTTCTCTGGTGCAAAAGACAAAGTCCTAGGCTCTCCGCTTTTTAGGCTTTATCAATTTAATTTCTTGTCTCGCACCTCGGGCACTCGGGCACCTTGGACTTGCTTTTATTTCGCTTTTTATTCGCTTTATTTTTTTTTTTTGTTTAGGATTTTTTTGTCCGCATTCGATCGTCGTCGCTGCGCGTTGAACGATGTGAGGAATTTTTATGCCTCCGCTTTATTTATTTCGCTGTCTCGATGTTTTCTGCGCGATTCTGCAGTTCGAACGCGTGTTTGTTTGGTTTGTCGCACTGTGTCCGGAATCGGAACTTGAGCTGTTGTGACTTGTGTTTTGTATCTTGTATCTGACGGATGTGCGACTGCGCGCATGCGTACCGCTCGCCTCGAGTTTCGCTGAAGAACTGCCGCTCGAGACACTCTCGCCGGGCTTAGTTAAAGACACGCGGCTGAGTAAATCCAACTCTCTCTCACTCTCTCCTTCTCTCTCTCTCTCTGTCTCTTTGGGGTTTCTTTTGGATCCTTGCCTTCTTGCCGGTTTTGAGTGGAGTGAAATTACGGCTCTCTTTGGTTTTGACATACTCTCTCTACATGGGCTCTCCTTCTTGGAAAACAAAATAAAATCAAACCCAAAACAAGACAAACTATTTTTAATAAGACTTTTAATTATTGAGACCGCCTTTGGGTGTGTCTAGATAAAGTGCTAAGATCAGTCTAATTTTAATTGCCGGGAATTTTAGAAGGTTGTTCTATTGTGTGGGCTTCTGAGATAATTATGTCGTAAAATAAAGGTGGGGTGTATTAGTAATTCATACAATTATTTAATATTCAAAATAAAAGGTCTGCCTTATTTAGAGATTAAGATTTAGAAAACTTTTTAACGCGGACTTTCCTACGATTTTTTTAATCATTTTTGTAGATATGGCTTACAAAGAAATTCTTTAATAATACAAAGCTATATTATTTGTGAATAAACTTTTTAATTATTTGGTTTTCAAATAGATTTGTTGGTGAATATAATAATTTTTTTAGGGTAATGGTTTTTTATAGAGGGAATTATTTGCGATATCAAAGAAGCCGGCGGTAAGCTTTATCTCAAATCCTAGCTCGTCGTTTGCATAAAGCCTTCCACTAAAGTTTATATCGCACTCGGGTAGATATTGCGGAGTATCTTGCCAGTTGAAATGCAATCGCTTCATAAAGTATGTGGTGTTCTAGTAATAATATCGTAATTAGATAGTAATAGTTGAATTAATGTATACTTTACTTTCTGAAAGGGGCACTTGTCGGGAAAATTTACTGCTGCCCTTCGAAATCCCTTGTAGTACATGGACATTATGGATCGTTTTCCGAAGAACTTATCAAGGTGACAGATGTCCACTGTAACGTTCTTAATTTTAATCGGCTTTTTCTGCCCTTTGTTGATGAGGGTTAAATCAAAAATTCCTTCTAGTTTTTCAATTGCTTTCTGATTGCCAACGGTCGCAAGAATGTTTAATGCAAGCCGAGATTCCAATTGACACTCGAATTTTGATAAGATTTTACTTCGAATCGTACACTCTATGGTGTTGAATATTATTTCCTAATAAAAGAGAATATTTTAAAATTGTTTAATTCAAAATTTATTGAAGGAACTAATGTTAAACAAATCCGACGGGGAGCAAACCTTTTTTGTTTCTCCTTGTGCTATTGAAATCCACATATAAATTTCCGCCAGCAAAAAGAAGAGGTGATTGCGTCGAAACATTTTGCTAACTAGTGCCCAATAATGACTGTATTATTATATTATGAAATAATTGTGACGAACAAGTTGAAAAGGCCATTTCAACAACAGACTAAATGTTGAGTAAATTATAAAACCTAACCATCTGAATCGATCAATCACCAATTTGAAAAAAGCATATTTGTAGAGATTGACAGATTTTATTTTTAGTACTAGCTGACCCACCGAACTTCGCACCACCCTATAATCAAGAACAATCTGTTACCTGAATGAAGTTAATTTTATCTTTACTTTATTAAGTATAGATGACCCGAAAGACAATGTTCTATCTTCTTAACTAAATTATATACCTAATATATATATACCTTATATATACATATATATTGACTCGGGAAGATATTGCGGAGTTTCTTGGGAAAGGGATTCATCAATATATATAGATGGCTAACGAAGTAACTTTTTTCTCAGATAAAGCAACATAATTTGGAAATAAAGTTGTGAGCACTTCGTTTTTTTTTTTTTTTTTTTTTTGAATATACAAATTTATCTGACAAATTTTTACGGCAGCCGCTGTCTATAAAGGGAATAATTTCTAATTTCATAGAAGCCTCCGGTGAGCTTGACCTCAGCTCCTAGCTCGTTATTTGCATAAATCTTTCCACTGAAAGATATGTTGGACTCGGGAAGATATTGCGGAGTTTCTTTCCACTCGAAATGCAGCCGCTTAATTGAGTAGGTTGTGCTCTAGAACAAAAGAATCAGAAATTTGTACGTTTAAATTTTAATTCAGCACTTACTTTAAGAAAGGGACACTTGTCGGGAAAATCTATTGCTGCCCTCTGAAATGCCTTGTAGTACATTGCCATTATGGACGGTTTTTCAAAGAACTTTTTAAAATGACAAAAGTCCACTTTGACGTTCTTAATCTGAACAGGCTTTTTCTGTCGATTGTTCGAGAGCTTTAAATCAAAAACTGCTTCTAATTTTTCAACTGATCTCTGTTGGTTAATGGTCACAGAAACGCTCAATGCCATTCGCGTTTCCAGTCGACAATCGAATTTCGAGAAAATTTTACTCCGAATCGTACATTCTATGGAGTTGAATATTACTTCCTGATAATGAAGATTATTTAAGAAATGTTTTATTTAAAAATTAAGCAACTTAAAAGGTTTGCAGTATAAAAACTTAAGAGGAGCAAACCTTCTTAACTTCCCCGTTGGCGATAAAAATCCACACAAATAGGGCAGGTAAAAAGAAGAGGTGATCACGTCGACTCATATTGCTAACTAAAGCATAAAACGGCTGAATTATTTCATGAACTACTTTATAACCCATTTCAATGACAGATCGGATAGTGAGTAAATTATTAAAACTTAACCAACTGAATCGATCAATCACCAATTTGAAATAAGCACTGTTGTACAGATAACAATGTACCAAAATGTTTTTTGTTAGCAATAAAAAATTTTAGTTTTTTTATTGTAAGTATACATACTTTTTTATCTGATAATTTTTTAAGGTAGGGGCTGCGTATATAGTGAATAATTTTTAATTTCATAGAAGCCTCCGGTGAGTTTGACCTCAAATCCTAGCTCGTTATTTGCATAAATCTTTCCACTAAGAGTAATGTTCGACTCTGGTAGATATTGCGGAGTTTCTTGCCACTCAAAATGCAGTCGCTTTAGTAAGTAAGTTGTGTTCTAGTTTAAAAGAGTCAGTTTAAAAGAGTACTTTTGAAATGAACTCACCACTTACTTTGAGAAAGGGACACTTGTTGGGAAAATTAACTGCTGCCCTCCGAAATGCCTTGTAGTACGTTGCCATCACGGACCGATTTGTAATGTACTTTTTCAGGTGACAATAATCCACTTTGATGTTTTTAATCGGAATAGGTTTTTGTCCATTGGGAATGAGCTTCGCATCGAAAACTGCTTCTAATTTATCAACTGCTTTAATATGATTAACGGTCGCAGCTACGCTTAATGCCATACGCGTTTCCAGTCGACAATTTAATTTCGATAAGATTTTACTTCGAATCATGCATTCTATGGTGTTGAATATTACTTCCTGATAATGAAGATTATTTATAAAATCTGAAATGAACTTATTATTTTTAAGAAAAGCAAACCTTCTTTGCCTGTCTATCGGCGAAAGAAATCCACACAAAAAGTGACAATAAAAAGAAGAGGTGCTCACGTCGAATCATTTTGCTAACTAAAGCTTAAAACGGTTTTGTTATTTCATGACTTATTTGCGACAAACCACTTTAATATCCCATTTTAATGACAGATCACGATAATGAGTGAATTATCAAAACTTAACCAACCGAATCGATCAATCACCAATTTGAAATAAACCTGATTGTTGAGGTTAAGATCTATAAAAATGTTTTTTTAAATAAAGTATTTTTTTTCGAGACAAATCAATATCATCCGGCAATAAAGCGTTACTTCTTAGTTTTTTTTAATTTTTTTGTGAATATAAATCTTTGTCTAATACATTTTTAGGGCAAAGGTTTTGTATAGAGGGAATAATTTGTAATTTCATAGACGCCACAAGTGAGCTTGACCTCAAATCCCAGCTCGTTATTTGCATAAATTTTTCCATTGAAAGTTATGTTTGACTCGGGAAGATATTGCGGAGTATCTTGCCACTCGAAATGCAGTCGCTTCATTGAGTAAGTTGTGTTCTAGGATAAAGGAATCAGAAGCTTGTACTTTTAAAATGAATACAGCACTTACTTTGAGAAAGGGACACTTGTCGGGAATATTTACTGCCGCCTTCCGAAATGCCTTGTAGTACATTGCCATCATGGACCGATTTTTAATGTACTTTTTTAGATGACAATAATCCATTTTGACGTTTTTAATAAGAATTGGCTTTTGCCCTTTCGGGAAGAGATTCACATCGAAAACTGCTAGTAATTTTTCAACCGATTTCTGTTGATTAACAGTCGCAGCTACACTCAATGCCATACGCGTTTCCAGTCGACAATCCAATTTCGATAAGATTTTACTCCGAATCGTACATTCAAAGGTGTTGAATATTACTTCCTGATAATGAAGATTATTTAAAAAAATTTATATTTAAAAAAGAACTTTATTTATTGGAACAACTAAAAAGGCTTCGAAGAAATATATTAAATTTAAGAGAAGCAAACCTTCTTTGCTTCTCCGTCGGCGATTGAAGTCCACACAAATAGTAGCATTAAAAAAAAGAGGTGATCATGTCGAATCATTTTGCTAACTAAAGCCTAAAACGGCTGTTCTATTTCATGAATTATTTGCGACAAACTACTTTAATATTCCCATTCAATGGCCGATCATATAATGAGTCTATTATCAAAACTTAACCAGCTTAATCGATCAATCCCCAATTTGAAATAATCATATATTTAACATTTTGACATAGACCATGTAGATACTCATGTATAATTACACGGAAGAGCAGTGATCTTGATTTCCACTCAATTCAACTGAGCGAGAAACTCATTTTAAAAATTTCTAAGAGAGAGAAAGGTGGAGAGAGAGGATATGATGGAGACAGAAAGAGAGTGAGAGCGCATTCTGTGGGAGGTTTTGAGGAGTCGATTTTGTTGTTGCCCCCGTTGATTTTTATGCTCAACGCGGCACATTTGCTGCGCCACATTAAGAAACTAGAATTCGCATTGAAGAGAGCGGTTTGAGGAGCAAGGGGGGGGGGACGCGATTACGATTACGTAGCGGGGAAGCCGTTCACAATGATTTTGGGTGCTTCCTCCCGGAAAAGTGGTTTCCTTAAAAATAATTAATTTTTTTTAATATGTATTTTGTTATACCAATCTAGCATCATAACCTGAAGTCACTACAAGTGTCATTTTTTTATTGCTAAAGATTTAAATATATCTAAATATGGTTTCGACGAGTGTTAAACATTTTGTTTTTGAAATACCTGATGGCCTTCTTAATAATATTCATAAAATTTGAAAGTAACTTATGGTGACAAATTGGCAATATGTTTCCTAAAACTAATGGGAGTGAGCGTGAAATGTTATCTTAAAAAGGTTTTTAGAAGAGTTTCCTAATGCTTTAAAATTCAAATATGCCACTTCTTTAAAAGTTGTATATTTATTTTAGGGCGTGTTATATAAAATGTTTCCTAACCCGTAAAAAGCATTGCTGGAGCTTCTCCCCGAAGTGTGAGAAATAGAGGGGAACACAAGAACCTACCTCATCAGGATTATCATCATCATTCGGAGAAGGGAACAGGCAGAAGGGTTAGAGTTTCAGGAACAAACGAAATACCCAAGGAGCGAACGAAGCGAAGGAACGAAATAAGAAAGGAGAGAAAAAGTCGAGAAGGAATTCTATAGCTGGTAGAACCGACACTTCGATATCCCCTGTTATTTTATAGACCCTTAGAAGAGTATCTTCAAGTGTATATCAAGTTTCCTTAATAAATCTCAGTAGTTAAGCGGCCCATATCAGTTCCACTTCCTCTGATTAACTTGACACTTTTAGAGATCAGCCCTTTATCGTTTATGACCTAAAACTTATAACTTTAAACCTAAAAGCCCATTAAATCTAACTCAATGGCATAAAACTGATACGAAACGCTTTTAGAGTGAAATTAAAATTATAATTTTGGGCCATTCAGAAAGCACGAATATTATAACTCTTAAAAGCCCTAGAATCGCCCTGTATTGATATGCTAAATAAGTGAATAATACTATTTAAATATTTAACCACTCAAAATCCATATACCCTCGAATAGCAGTAGTGAGGGGTACGAAAACAGTTGGAAAAAATATGATCAAGGAATGTAGACATAACTTGACAGCGTGTTTAGAGAATTTCTACTCGAGCCCGAGGACAGAGTCGCGATCTGAGGAGCGGAGTCTTCTCCGCTCAGAGTCTCCAAAGAATCGGGAAGAAGAGGAGATACCAACAACTTGGAGCCGCTGCATTCTTCGGTGTCTGCGGGAGAGAGAGAGAGAGAGAGAGAGCAAGTGAGCAAGTGAGCAAGTGAGAGATCCAACCGGGTTTTGACTCAGAATTGGGCTCACGATTTTTCGGGTGCAGTTTAATTTAATAAAGTGAGAGCATGTTCGGGCCTAATTGAATTTGCAGTGTTGCCGCGCCGAGTTCGAACCAGAAATCGAAGCTGTTATTCGCCAGCAAGCCAGGCCAACAGAACATAAAAACCAATGGATGAAATTTCCATTCGAAAAACCCACAATGCACAAGTTAATTATGCGCCAGCCGAATTTGATGTCTTTTTGAAAAGGCTTTTAAGTGGGATTTTGTTTGGGGATCGAACATTATCTGGCGAGCGCCATCAATTGGGAATTTCGCCGCCAAATGCTGACTCGGTTTCCATTTTGATTTGTCGCTGTTTCGCTGTGGCCTTTTATTTGCCATATGCCCCGCAGTAATGTGTCTGTTGAAATCGTCAGTTTAAGTCAAATTAATTAACATTAATTTTTGTGGCTCGTTCGTTTCGAGGCATGAAATCAACCGGGTGGCTGAGCTCAGCTCAAATCATTTCTTTGGATGTGTGTAAAATTAATGTCTGCTTTGATGATAAATTGGAACTCGTTGGAGCTTTGTTTTATAGATTTCATTTTTGACTCCGACTCGGGCTCTTGCCAAAATGGTGGGAACTAACGAACCGCTGGTGGTCGATTTCCAGTCGCTTTGGGAGCAGCGCGTTATAGTTATTCCATGGCCCAGAGGTTAATCGAATTAAACAAATACCTGACAAAGGAAAGAGAGCTGATCGCTGAACGCTGAACGCTGAACATTGAACTGTTTGAAAAATGATCTATTATGGGCAGGCCGTGTAACTGTGCCCTGACATCTCTGATGGCCTGTTGATGGCTGGCTGCCTCGGCCAAGTTCGTTGCCTAAGTCTTTCGTTTCTTACGTTGTGGGAAACACACACAGGCGAACGCGAATGCGAACGCAAGAGACACTTTGCGGCCGCTCAGCTCTCGTTTTAATTATTTGCGGGCTGCGTATAAATTTCAGACAAGACGCAGAGCCAAAGAACCTCCAAAAATTGACGTAAAGAAACGGGGAAACACACTGAGAGCAAAATCAATTTTGGCTAACAATCACGGCCTGGTAATGATAAATGAATCAGTCAAAGGTGAAAAGGGATTACAAATTACTCTTCTTTGTTGACTGTAATAAGCGATAGTTTGAAGGGAATACAATACACAATTTTCAAATGGATATTATACAGACTAATTGAATTAATATTAAATGGAAAAAATAAATTAAAGGGGTTTTCGCCTTTTAGATTATTATTTTGTTACTCTTGCACTTTTTATTAAATTAATTTCAAGCTTAAATAGTCTGCCTATATTGCGCCATCTCTTCCTATTTGTGTTTTATTTTAATGGAATTGTGTATTACCACAGTCCATTTATAATGTTTAAAAAACTCAAGGAAATTAATAAGATTAATCTCACATTATATGAGATAATATAATTCCCTCAGTGCAGAAACAGAAACGGAAAGCATTTGGCGAAGTTTGTTAAGCGCAAATTCCAGGGATGTTTGCAGTGCGCAACAATTTGGAACATTTTGTTGAACACAAGAGGAGCAAACAGAGAGCAGCCAGCGTAAAAATGAAGTAAAAAAGTCACGGACATCGCCTTGTGGTCAACGAAAGTGAACTGTGAAGGACATGAGACACGGGTTGGATACCCCACCCCCTCCTCTTCCCCGCCCCCTTCCGCTTCCCCCACCCCCCGCTGCCTCTTCCTCTGCCATCTGCCATGTGATCTTGGTGTTGGCCAGTCGGAAACTGGATGGAACTCGAGTGGCTGCTGCCTTTGTTTGCTCTGCTAGATTCCAGACCAGACCACTCATCCTAGACCCAGACGCTGGCGTCGTCGCTGACGATGACGACTTGGACGACCTCAAGAGGCAGGAACTCACTCACTGCACCCAGTTTGTGGCATCCACCATCCACCATCCACCAGCCAGTATTGAGCATCCAGAGCCTCCTGGCTCCTCGCCCTGGGACATCGTCACGGGCCGTCAGCGCCTCCATCCACACGGATCCTAGTCCCTACTCCTTGGTCCCTACTCCCCACTGCCAGGGGCACCTGAGCCCCGGCATCAACCGCATCATCCACAGTCGCAGTCACAGGCATGTCCACATGCACATCCCCATCATCGCCACTTGCCACTTGCCACGGACTGTGGCTGCGACCTC